CGCACACATACATAATTATACAAGCACGCACATACACGCACACGCACGAACAAAGACAAACAAACACAGTCCTACCAAAGCAAACACACAGGTACAAACAAATCGTACAAATTGTGTGTATACAATTACCTCAATAATGAACAAACAGCAATGTAAGTACCGTATAATTTTACCCCATTGTTAAAAAAAAACAAGACCGTTATTCATGTCATGAACTATATCAGCTTTTCAATTACCTTTAAACAGGACAAAATGAGTGTGCGTGTAATTGAAATTTAACTTTTAAAAACACCATTTTTAATAACACTTTAAAACACGTAAAAAAAATGTTTAATTAAGGATCAATGAAACGGCGTTTTTAGTGGAAAGTTAGGATATGGAGGGGATGGGGGGGGGCGTGAATGGTGGGGGAGGGGGGGATGAATGGTGGGGGAGGGGGAGATTGGGGGATGAATGGTGGGGAAAAGCAGATGATTGGGTGTAACTCTTGGGCCTTCGATCAGGCTAAGTTGCACTAAGCTACTTAACTCCAACTAATTTCCAGTTATGTTGGAATGACTTTAGTTCCTCCAGATTTGCTTCAGCTAGATTTAGCAATTATCAAAATAAATTATTAAATTATCAAACGCCTGGAAAATTATTGAGGTATCGTCTGTGTGGCGGGCTACTCAAAAGGTCCTGAATATCACTAAGGATGGCACTGCAAGAACCTTGAGGTTATCTTGAGATGATTACGGGGCTTTAGTGTCCCCGCGGCCCGGTCCTCGACCAGGCCTCCACCCCCAGGGAGCAGCCCGTGACAGCTAACACCCAGGTACCTATTTTACTGTTAGGTAACAGGGGCATAGGGTGAAAGAAACTCTGCCCATTGTTTCTCGCCGGCGCCCGGGATCGAACCCGTGACCACAGGATCACAAGTCCAGCGTGCTGTCCGCTCGGCCGACCGGCTCCCTCAACCGCAGACTCCCTCAAGAACACAGGATTCAGCAAGAACACAGGATTCAGCAAGAACACAGGATTCAGCAAGAACACCGGATTCAGCAAGAACACCGGATTCAGCAAGAACACAGGATTCAGCAAGAACACCGGATTCAGCAAGAACACAGGATTCAGCAAGAACACAGGATTCAGCAAGAACACCGGATTCAGCAAGAACACAGGATTCAGCAAGAACACAGGATTCAGCAAGAACACAGGATTCAGCAAGAACACTGGATTCAGCAAGGATTGTATAGAGACACTGGCGTAGGAAGCAAGGGTGGATACTCTGAGTTTCAGAGGTGTCTGCACAAACGCTCTCGACATTCCGCTAAAACTTGTTGTTCGTAAAAAATGATTCGCAGTATAAAACTTTCATTGTGGGAACCTGTAGTTATCACATGACTAAACTCCAGAAAATATTGAGAAATTCTTATCCTCATGTAAACTTTAATTTTGCTTTCACTAATCGGCAAACAACTGGCACTTGAAGAATACAAATCAGTTACCTTGGCTCTGAGAGATAAGTGTATTCACACAGAGGTGTATTCCTCTTCTCGGTACATATACACTGACAGTTTATTATCCTGAACTATAATCAGGTCTAAAGTATACTTACTGATTGGTCAGTAAGTTATAGTGAAGGGGATAACAGTCTTTCAGAAGTTAGTATAGGCCTTGAGCCTAACACACAACTAATCTCTGATGAGGTGTTTACTCACAAACGTCAGACCTATAATTCCCAAGATGTGAGCAACGCTTCCTTACCTCACTATGAAATGTTGACAAATCCCCAGCATGAACGCACGGCTCTCTCTTACCGTATAGTAATGCCCTTTGGGCAAGTACAGCTTCCTAGATCCAAGATTAATACAGTATCCCCACTGACCATTTGCACTTACAGCGACTTCAGTGGTCTGGCCTCGTATGCTAGTCGATCCGCTGTTGTAAATTGTCTGACTCCATCCATGTCGTTACATGATACCTGAAATGAGAAGCTCTAAGTCCTCGATAGATGTTATAGATATGTTTTTATTTATAGATATGTTATATATATATATATATATATATATATATATATATATATATATATATATATATATATATATATATATATATATATATATTCATACCTATGCTAAATATGTTTTCAGTCTATGAATGAAAAACGGTTTATACTCTGACTCACAACTGATGACGATCGAACTAGTAAGTAATTATGGTATACATGTAAGGATAGTGAACAAAATAATAACAATTCATTGTTTATTACATTATACAGGACATGGTGTGGTAGTCAGCTATCAGAGGGTCAGCTAACAGAATCAGCTAACAGTACCACTAAATTGGGTCAACTAGTATGTTTGACTAACAATGCCAGCAAACAATACCAAGTAACAGTGCTAACTAACAGTATCAGTTAACAATGTTTGCTAACAGTGCCAGCTAACAGTCCCAATTAACAATGCCAGTTAACAGTGTCAGCTAACGATGTCAGCTAACAGTGCCAGCTAACAGTGCCAGCTAGGTATTGGCTCACGGTTACCACGTACCGATGAACCTATGTTATGATATGACTCCTGATATGTACAATACACTGGGTTTGTTTACCTTATTGCTAAACACGTGGTTTTGTTTGTAAACACTTTTTACCCGCCATTTCATCCGAAAGCCATGCATTTTTCCCGCGAAACTTTTTGGCAAATTTCGAGCACTCCATTTTCAAACTATCGTTGATGGTTTGAATATAAGCACTTTTCATTAACCACCAAACTTGCCATTCTTTTTTTCTCTTTTATTTCTTCAAAAACGTTCTTATAAACCAGTTAAAAGAACGTTTTGTTTTCATTTAAATCCTGGCGCCATCTTTGGGACACTTCACTGACGTCATGTCTGGCGACTCGACTTTTAATTCCCGCCATTTTGTCAACGTTTTATATTCATTTAAATCACATTTTAAAACTGACACCTGGTTGTGAAACCACTGAACTGTTTTGTGTAATTAGATATTATCAAGAGAGTATTTCTGGCTTAACATTCACTAAAATGTTGTTTTCATCTCTCGACTATTGTGCATGACGTCACCAACGACGATTGTCTTTTGTTTGTACGTTTCAATCGAAACTCGGTATTTACACTCTTTAAATGTCGCTACCAAAATTGCAGCGCTAATCAAAAAAATTCCTGGAGGATATCATTTCCAGTCTCGCCTTATATCAGGTGCAATAAATCTTCGTCAGAATTAGATATCAGACTCTGGAAGCAATAAAATAAGGCGCTTCCCCGGATTGGCAACTCTTGGTTGCCAATATTTACATATTACGGGCTCACCATAGCCCGTGCTACTTGGAACATTTTGTTCCAAGTAGCGAATCTTAAACAACAACAACGTTTACATATTATTCCTCACCAAGACACATACAGAACATATATTTACACATTACGCCTCAACTACATATATATTTTTTTTTACAAATATTCAGTTTAAGTATAGAGATGTAAAGAGCAAGTTGGGAGATATTTGGCAAAACTGGCAGGGGACGTTATTTTAATTATCAGATATACATACCTATACATCACACAACTATTCTTAAATGTATTGGAAAGCATGTATGTCGAGGTGTGTATATATACATATACTCGAGAGGTATATCCGTGAGGCAGGAGGCGGGGGACAGGAGCTGGGGTTTACATCCCTACACTTGGTGTGGTCGTGGGTATGTAGGTTCCTGTACCGTGTAGAAGAGGCAGCTTACTTCTTATATAGTATGTACTGTACCTAGCTGAGGCCAGCCACTGTCCTCTGAGGCCAGCCACTTTCTCCTGAGGCCAGCCACTGTCCCCTGAGGCCAGCCACTGTCCCCTGAGGCCAGCCACTGTCCCCTTAGGCCAGCCACTGTCCCCTGAGACCAGCCACTGTCCCCTGAGGCCAGCCACTGTCCCCTGAGGCCAGCCACTGTCCCCTTAGGCCAGCCACTGTCCCCTGAGACCAGCCACTGTCCCCTGAGGCCAGCCACTGTCCCCTGAGGCCAGCCACTGTCTCCTGAGGCCAGCCACTGTCTCCTGAGGCCAGCCACTGTCCCCTGAGGCCAGCCACTGTCTCCTGAGGCCAGCCACTGTCTCCTGAGGCCAGCCACTGTCCCCTGAGGCCAGCCACTGTCCCCTTAGGCCAGCCACTGTCCCCTGAGGCCAGCCACTGTCCCCTGAGGCCAGCCACTGTCCCCTGAGGCCAGCCACTGTCTCCTGAGGCCAGCCACTGTCCCCTGAGGCCAGTCACTGTCCCCTTAGGCCAGCCACTGTCCCCTGAGGCCAGCCACTGTCCCCTGAGGCCAGCCACTGTCCCCTGAGGCCAGTCACTGTCCCCTGAGGCCAGCCACTGTCCCCTGAGGCCAGCCACTGTCCCCTGAGGCCAGCCACTGTCCCCTGAGGCCAGTCACTGTCCCCAGAGACCAGCCACTGTCCCCTGAGGCCAGACACTGTCCCCAGAGACCAGCCACTGTCCCCTGAGGCCAGCCACTGTCCCCTGAGGCCAGTCACTGTCCCCTGAGGCCAGCCACTGTCCCCTGAGGCCAGCCACTGTCCCCTGAGGCCAGCCACTGTCTCCTGAGGCCAGTCACTGTCCCCTGAGGCCAGCCACTGTCTCCTGAGGCCAGCCACTGTCCCCTGAGGCCAGTCACTGTCCCCTGAGGCCAGCCACTGTCTCCTGAGGCCAGCCACTGTCCCCTGAGGCCAGACACTGTCTCCTGAGGCCAGCCACTGTCCCCTGAGGCCAGCCACTGTCTCCTGAGGCCAGCCACTGTCCCCTGAGGCCAGTCACTGTCCCCAGAGACCAGCCACTGTCTCCTGAGGCCAGTCACTGTCCCCTTTGAAAGCGATTCGACGGGGCGGGACAGGACGGGGCGGGTCTTGGCGGGGCGGGTCTTGGCGGGTGGGTCTTGGCGGGGCGGGTCTTGGCGGGGCGGGGCGGGTCTTGGCGGGGCGGGTCTTGGCGGGGCGGGGTGGGTCTTGGCAGGGCGGGGCGGGGTGGGGCGGGGCGGGGCGGGTCTTGGCGGGGCGGGGCTCGTGGGTCTTGACGGGTCGGGACGGGGCGAGTCTTGGCGGGTCGGAGTGTTGACTTAGCCGATGGAGGGGACACACCTGGTGAGCGGGGCGGACCAGCGGCGGGTGTGGAGGCAGGAGAGGCGGTCGGGCCCCGCGGGGCGGTACCCGGGGCGACACGTCACCAGCAGCGTGGCCCCGACGTGGTAGCGGGAGCGACGGGGCGAGACCCGGCCGTGCTGGGGCTCCCCGGGGTGGGGGCACGACTCTACACCTGGGGTGGGGGGGTGGGGGGGAGGGGGGGATATATACGCACGTGAGAAGGTGATTGACACGAAATTCACTGGTGATAAAACCTTATGAACACACAGGTGAGGAACTAATTAACATGACACACACAGGTGAGAAACTAATTAACAGGACACATACAGGTGATAAACTAATTAACATGATACACAGGTGAGGAACTAATTAACAGAACACACACAGGTGAGAAACTAATTAATAGAACACACAGGTGAGAAACTAATTAACAGGACACACACAGGTGAGGAACTAATTAACAGGACACACAGGTGAGAAACTAATTAACAGAACACACACAGGTGAGAAACTAATTAACAGGACACACACAGGTGAGAAACTAATTAACAGGACACACACAGGTGAGAAACTAATTAACAGGACACACACAGGTGAGAAACTAATTAACAGAACACGTACACAGGTGAAAAACTAATTAACAGGACACACACAGGTGAGAAACTAATTAACAGGACACACACAGGTGAGAAACTAATTAACAGGACACACACAGGTGAGAAACTAATTAACAGGACACACACAGGTGAGAAACTAATTAACAGGACACACACAGGTGAGAAACTAATTAACAGAACACGTACACAGGTGAAAAACTAATTAACAGGACACACACAGGTGAGAAACTAATTAACAGGACACACACAGGTGAGGAACTAATTAACAGGACACACACAGGTGATAAACTAATTAACAGAACACACACAGGTGAGGAACTAATTAACAGAACACACACAGGTGATAAACTAATTAACAGGACACACACAGGTGATAAACTAATTAACAGGACACACACAGGTGAGAAACTAATTAACAGGACACACACAGGTGAGAAACTAATTAACAGGACACACACAGGTGATAAACTAATTAACAGAACACACACAGGTGAGAAACTAATCATACTAATAGACACGACAAAAAAATTGATATTCAATAAATTTCCAACAAACTGGTGCAGATAAACATACAGAAAATAGTTTATTAATCAGCTTGAAACATCCTCAGTAACAAGGAATATCAAATTAATTATGTTATTCATATTAAACAATAATTATGTCAATAATAATAATACTAATACTAATTAATGATTATAATGAGACCAAAAATATACAAATACTGCCACTAATGTGACCAGCCATCACACCATCACTTAATACTTCTACCACACCACCACCACCTCATCTACTACCACATCTACCACTAGACCGCCACCTCTTATCTACTACCCCCCCTCATATACTATCACTACCACCATCTATCTATTACCCCCTCATCACTACCACTGCTACAACCACCACCACCTCCTATCTACTACCCCTTTCATTTACTACCATTTCTACAACACCACCACCACCTATCTACTACTCCCTCATCTACTACCACCACCTATCTACTACCCTCTCATCTACAACCACCAGCACCACCACCATCTATCTACTACCATATCTATCACCACCACCACCTATCTACTACCCCCACCACCTATTTAGTACCCCCTCATCTATCTACCACCCCCTCAACTACAACCACCATCTATCTACTACCATATCTATCACCACCACCTATCGACTACCCTCTCATCTACCACCACCACCTATCTACTCCTCCTCATGTACTACCACATGTACTAGGACCAGCAGGAGCCAGCCAGCGAGCCAGGACTCACATGAGGGTGTGGGGTGGGACCAGGTGCCATCATGGGTGCAGAAGGCCAGGGCGTGACCGTGGACGACGTACCCTGGGAGACAGGTGAAGGTGACAGCCTCGCCCACCCTCCTGGACGAGGGCCTCGTCACCCGGCCGTGCTCGGGGGCCCCGGCTGCCTCACACACCACCTCTGGGGACACCGCACGCTGCTTAGTGCCCGGAGGCAGGGGAAGGCGGGAAAGGTGGCAGGGGAAGGCGGGAAAGGTGGCAGGGGAAGGCGGGAAAGGTGGCAGGGGAAGGCGGGAAAGGTGGCAGGGGAAGGCGGGAAAGGTGGCAGGGGAAGGCGGGAAAGGTGGCAGGGGAAGGCGGGAAAGGTGGCAGGGGAAGGCGGGAAAGGTGACAGGGCAAGGCGGGAAAGGTGGCAGGGGAAGGTGGGAAAGGTGCCAGGGGAAGGCGGGAAAGGTGGCAGGGGAAGGCGGGAAAGGTGGCAGGGGAAGGCGTGAAAGGTGGCAGGGGAAGGCGGGAAAGGTGTCATGGGAAGGCGGGAAAGGTGGCAGGGGAAGGCGGGAAAGGTGGCAGGGGAAGGCGGGAAAGGTGGCAGGGGAAGGCGGGAAAGGTGACAGGGCAAGGCGGGAAAGGTGGGAAAGGTGCCAGGGGAAGGCGGGAAAGGTGGCAGGGGAAGGCGGGAAAGGTGGCAGGGGAAGGCGGGAAAGGTGGCAGGGGAAGGCGGGAAAGGTGGCAGGGGAAGGCGGGAAAGGTGGCAGGGGAAGGCGGGAAAGGTGGCAGGGGAAGGCGGGAAAGGTGCCAGGGCAAGGCGGGAAAGGTGGCAGGGGAAGGTGGGAAAGGTGCCAGGGGAAGGCGGGAAAGGTGGCAGGGAAAGGCGGGAAAGGTGGCAGGGGAAGGCGGGAAAGGTGGCAGGGGAAGGCGGGAAAGGTGGCAGGGGAAGGCGGGAAAGGTGGCAGGGGAAGGCGGGAAAGGTGGCAGGGGAAGGCGGGAAAGGTGGCAGGGGAAGGCGGGAAAGGTGACAGGGCAAGGCGGGAAAGGTGGCAGGGGAAGGTGGGAAAGGTGCCAGGGGAAGGCGGGAAAGGTGGCAGGGGAAGGCGGGAAAGGTGGCAGGGGAAGGCGGGAAAGGTGACAGGGGAAGGCGGGAAAGGTGGCAGGGGAAGGCGGGAAAGGTGGCAGGGGAAGGCGGGAAAGGTGGCAGGGGAGGGAGGGGATAGGAGGGAAGAATATGGGATGAAGGGGGGACGAACGGATAGAGAGGAAGATATCGATAACAAGAGAGAGAGAGAGAGAGGGGGGGGGGAGACTCAGAGCAACAGAAAAATGGTAAATTGAAGTTAGAGGTGGAGAGAGAGACAGAGAGAGATTGTACACACAGAACAGGGACAAAGGGGAGAGTTCGTACCCCTGACACCGAAGATCTGGTGGGTCAAAGGTGGGAAGTTAGGGAGGGAACACATAGGAGAGAGGCAGGGAGAGGAAGCAAGCGAGTTAGAGAGAAGGTAGCAAAGAGGTGAGTGAGGGAGGAGGAGACAAGGGTAGGAGTGAGGGAGGAGGAGACAAAGGTAAGAGTGAGGGAGGAGGAGACAAAGGTAGGAGTGAGGAAGGAGGAGACAAAGGTAGGAGTGAGGAAGGAGGAGACAAAGGTAGGAGTGAGGAAGGAGGAGACAAAGGTAGGAGTGAGGAAGGAGGAGACAAAGGTAGGAGTGAGGAAGGAGGAGACAAAGGTAGGAGTGAGGAAGGAGGAGACAAAGGTAGGAGTGAGGAAGGAGGAGACAAAGGTAGGAGTGAGGAAGGAGGAGACAAAGGTAGGAGTGAGGAAGGAGGAGACAAAGGTAGGAGTGAGGAAGGAGACAAGGGTAGGAGTGAGGGAGGAGGAGACAAAGGTAAGAGTGAGAGAGGTGTAAACTGAGGTAAAAGTAGCCAGAGAGAGAGAGAGAGAGAGAGAGAGAGAGAGAGAGAGAGAGAGAGAGAGAGAGAGAGAGAGAGAGAGAGAGAGAGAGAGAGAGAGAGAGAGAGAGGCAGCAGGAGGTCGGTTACACCCAGGACCGAGGCCCACCAATGTAAACAACTTATCTCAATCATCAAATAATTTTACCATGTATATTTTGCGGTGTGTTTATTTGACTATATTTCAAGTGCAATAATACCTCATGAAGGTCACCATGACAACCAGGTGGTAGGCAGGTCCCTGCCCATCTTACCTTGACAGGTGGGCAAGGGTTGGGACCAGGTGGTAGGCAGGTCCCTGCCCATCTTACCTTGACAGGTGGGCAAGGGATGGGACCAGGTGGTAGGCAGGTCCCTGCCCATCTTACCTTGACAGGTGGGCAAGGGTTGGGACCAGGTGGTAGGCAGGTCCCTGCCCATCTTACCTTGACAGGTGGGCAAGGGTTGGGACCAGGTGGTAGGCAGGTCCCTGCCCATCTTACCTTGACAGGTGGGCAAGGGTTGGGACCAGGTGGTAGGCAGATCCCTGCCCATCTTACCTTGACAGGTGGGCAAGGGATGGGACCAGGTGGTAGGCAGGTCCCTGCCCATCTTACCTTGACAGGTGGGCAAGGGATGGGACCAGGTGGTAGGCAGGTCCCTGCCCATCTTACCTTGACAGGTGGGCAAGGGATGTGACCAGGTGGTAGGCAGATCCCTGCCCATCTTACCTTGACAGGTGGGCAAGGGATGTGACCAGGTGGTAGGCAGATCCCTGCCCATCTTACCTTGACAGGTGGGCAAGGGGTGGGACCAGGTGGTAGGCAGATCCCTGCCCATCTTACCTTGACAGGTGGGCAAGGGGTGGGACCAGGTGGCAGGCAGGTCCCTGCCCATCTTACCTTGACAGGTGGGCAAGGGATGTGACCAGGTGGCGTTTGCGGTACAGTGGAGGATGCTGTGACCCAGTAGACGGAAGCCAGGGAGACAGGTGAACACAGCGGCACCCATATAGGTGGTATTGGCCGCCTGCAGCTGTAGGTGAGGGTCATCAGGTGCCAGCAAGGGGCACCGGACTACCAGGCACTGTGCCACAGGGCCTGACCACTCTCCTGGGGCAGGGGGGGAGAGAGAGGCACTGGTGTTAGGCACTAAGGACCAGTCCTAGGGAATGGGATTGATTTATATTTATACACAGCTTTGCTACCACATGTTTAGGGAACATATACATCAGTCAGTAGATGGATGAGAAGTGGGACCAAGGAGCTGAAGCCCAACCATCCCAAATCAGATAAGCCTAACCCAATACACACTATCATTAACATGGGCTCATTAATTTGAAATACTCAACATATACACAAATAAAAAGAATTTATATATTAGGTAGCACTAAGCCACCTAACCTAGCCTAACCTAACCTAGCTTAGCCTAGCCTAATCCAGCGTAGCATAGCCAGACCTAGCCCAGCCTAGCCTAGTCTAACCCAGCCTAGTCTAACCTAGCCACCAGGAACAAAATATATGCACAGTTTCTGACGACTCAGGCTTCACCATATATCACTGTCAAGGATATATGCAAATATATATATACACTAATCCCCTATAGATACTTACACTAAATACACGTATGCTGCTGTGCATTGTAAAATCTCTTTAACCATCTTCTGTAACTGTGTGCTCAACAACCTACTGCACACCATGCACAACACATCTCTAGCCCCGCCTGAGCAAGACAAGAATGAAACCACTGTGAAAGCACTGCAAAGTCACCTGTGGGTGAGTGCTCTTATACGTCACATTGCATACGAACTTCTCAATCACAGAAGCATGCAGATCAATGTCGATTTACACAATGGCAGCATAATACCCGGCTCCTTGTACAGTAAAGATCAGGGGCCAGATTCACGAAAGCACTTACGAACCTGTATATCTTTTCTCAATCTTAGGCGGCTTTGTTTACAATTATTAAACAGTTAATGAGCTCCGAAGCACCAGGAGGCTGCTTATAACAATAACAACAGTTGATTGGTAAGTTTTCATGCTTGTAAACTGTTTAATAATTGTAAACAAAGCCACCAAAGATTGAGAAAAGATGTACAGGTTCGTAAGTGCTTTCGTGAATCTGGCCCCAGAGGCCTATGTGGTGAGAAACACCTTGGGGGGCATCTTGAGGGTGTAATATCTGCATGCTGGGCGACTTAAATCTGTGTAAAATAAAATGGGCAAATCCAAACTGGAACATTGAGGCAAAAGAAGTTTTGGTGGTTGAAAACTGCTTATTGTGTTACAGAGCCGGTGACCTTGTACTTATCTGCAGGGAGGCAGGTGACTTCATACTCACCTGAAGGGAGGCAGGTGACTTAATACTCACCTGAAGGGAGGCAGGTGACTTAATACTCACCTGAAGGGAGGCAGGTGACTTAATACTCACCTGAAGGGAGGCAGGTGACTTAATACTCACCTGAAGGGAAGCAGGTGACTTCATACTCACCTGAAGGGAAGCAGGTGACTTCATACTCACCTGAAGGGAGGCAGGTGACTTAATACTCACCTGAAGGGAGGCAGGTGACTTCATACTCACCTGAAGGGAGGCAGGTGACTTCATACTCACCTGAAGGGAGGCAGGTGACTTAATACTCACCTGAAGGGAGGCAGGTGACTTAATACTCACCTGAAGGGAGGCAGGTGACTTCATACTCACCTGAAGGGAGGCAGGTGACTTCATACTCACCTGAAGGGAGGCAGGTGACTTAATACTCACTTGAAGGGAGGCAGGTGACTTCATACTCACCTGAAGGGAGGCAGGTGACTTCATACTCACCTGAAGGGAGGCAGGTGACTTCATACTCACCTGAAGGGAGGCAGGTGACTTAATACTCACCTGAAGGGAGGCAGGTGACTTCATACTCACCTGAAGGGAGGCAGGTGACTTCATACTCACCTGAAGGGAGGCAGGTGACTTGGTATTCACCAGAAGGCAAGCAGGTGACGTTGGAGGCTCACCTGAAGGGAGGATAGGTGATTTCATACTCACCTGTAGGGAGGCAAGTGAACTTGGAGACTCACCTGTAGGGACCAGGCAAGTTACCACGCAGACTCACCAGAAGGGAGGCAGGTGACCTTGGAGACTCACCAGAAGGCAGGCAGGTGAGCTTGGCCACTCCCTCCAAGTAGAACCCGTCGGGGCAGGAGAAGGTGAGGGCGGCGCCCAACGTGACACTATCGCCATGCACCTGCAGCACCTCGTCACCTGAGACCGGAGGGCAGCTGACACCTGCAGAACAACACCTGCTGAGGTCTCGACACACCGGCAGTCGCCCAGACATACAAGAACGCCAGGGGGAGGGGGGGGGGGTAAACAAAGGCCCGTCTTCTCTACCTCTCCATTCACCCCTTCCACTTCTTTCCCTCCCTCTTTCCCTCCCTCCGTCACCGCTCCACAATGGCTCCCACACCGTCAATTGTCCCGCCTGTCCACCACCTTTTGTGTGTTGGGACGGAGATAATGAGTGTTATTGAGGAGCGTCTCTGGAGCCCGCTACTATGAGGTGGGTGTGTGGGTGGGTGAGAGTGTGGGTGGGTGAGAGTGGGGTGGGCGAGTGGGGTGGGCGAGTGGGGTGGGCGAGAGTGGGGTGGGCGAGAGTGGGGTGAGTGAGGGTGAGTGCGGGTGGGTGAGAGTGTGGGTGAGAGTGAGTGCGGGTGTATGAAAAAAATTCTGTTACTCCCTGCATACCATAAAGGCCACAGCAAAAAAAAAATACATTGTGAGCAGATAGTTTTTGAAAATGAAGGACTCAATTACAAATAAAATTCGACACACACACACACCCACACACACACACACACCCACCCACACACACACACACCCACCCACCCACACACACACACACCCACCCACACACCCACCCACACACACACACCCACACACACACACACACACACACACACACACACACACACACACACACACACACCAAAGAGCAGTAACACAGAGGTCTCAGTATGAGAACAATTCTCACAATCCTGGGGGGACTTCAACCATGGCAATAAGAGCCATGTGCATGAATTAGCGAGGCCACTGATCATCAGACCGGTGGCATCCAGCCAGAACTTTAAAATATAAGAGATGAAAGAGCCAGGTATGCAAGTTCTCTTGCACACCTGGTTACACCCGACCCTTCATCATGGACACTCAACTGAATGCCATTGACAGCCTCACCTGCAATAGTCAGACGAGCCACATGGAAGCTAGTTACGAAAGTAAACAGGACAAATGAATATATAAACTACAACATGTTAGTGAAGGAAAATTATTACTGACAAACTCGTCAGTTCTGTAATATGCTGATGGAAGTTACAGAGAGAGAGAGAGAGAGAGAGAGAGAGAGAGAGAGAGAGAGAGAGAGAGAGGGGGGGATGGGTTGATAGTATTTTCTTAACAGCCAAAAAGCTTTTGACGCGGTTAATTGGTTGAGGTTTCATAAAGAAGCTCATCAGGGTTAGAGAATACCTTTCTCAGGGGTAGAGAACCATTTCTCAGGGGTAGAGAACACCTTTCTCAGGGGTAGAGAACACCTTTCTCAGGGGTAGAGAACACCTTTCTCAGGGTAGAGAACACCTTTCTCAGGGGTAGAGAACACCTTTCTCAGGGGTAGATAATACCTTTCTCAGGGGTAGATAATACCTTTCTCAGGGTTAGAGAACACCTTTCTCAGGGGTAGAGAACACCTTTCTCAGGGTTAGATAATACCTTTCTCAGGGTTAGAGAATACCTTTCTCAGGGGTAGAGAACACCTTTCTCAGGGGTAGAGAACACCTTTCTCAGGGGTAGAGAACACCTTTCTCAGGGGTAGAGAACACCTTTCCAAGAGGAGGTGGAGAATCAGAGTGAGAAGGGAGGTACTGGAGAGGAGGGGCACGAGCAGGAAGCCACAAGTACAGTACTTGTACCCATACCAATAGCAGCATGCTGAGGACCCGGACCCAACACAAGCCAATTCCTCCATGGAATCATATGTTTACGGAAGATGATAAACTGGCAAAAAATAGTTAAGACGCAAGTGAACTGGAGAATTTCCCAGGCTTACCCCCACACAAGAACAAAAGGATGGAAGAAATCATCTTTTTCCTTTCTTTTCACGTAACATAAAAGCACATGAACATTAGAATCACACCCTAATTTGATCCACAAATTCACAATCCTGTTTCCAACCCAGTATTTACCCAGGTCTTTACTGAATCTAATCTTCTGCACTTTATCCCCCAATGTTGCGAGTTCTCAGCTGGTGTGAGCAAATAGTTGGTGAACGTGAACCAGGAGGTAATGATAAGATGGTCACAAGTCTAAGACATGTTGTTGTTAAAGATTTAGCTACTCAGGACGAAGTGTCCATGTAGCACGGGCTATGGTGAGCCCGTAATCTCAAGTCAAGACACTCTACTCCAGCTTATAACAAGCGAGGAGACCGCTCCAAGGGTCAGGAGAAAGCGAGGAGACCGCTCCAAGGGTCAGGAGAAAGTGAGGAGACTCAAGGACTTAAAATTTCAAGACACAGGTCCTCGCGGCCGAGTGGACAGCGCTCTGGGTTGGTAGTCCTTGGCATCTGGGTTCGATTCCCGGTCGAGGCAGAAATAAATGGTCAGAATTTCTTTCATCTGATGCATCTGTTCACCTAGCAGTAAATAACTACCTGGTAGTTTGACAGCTACTACGGGCTGCATCCTGGGAATGTGTACTCACCTATATGTACTCACCTATATGTGCTTGCAGGATCGAGCATTGACTCTTGGATCCCGCCTTTCGAGCATCGGTTGTTTACAGCAATGACTCCTGTCCCATTTCCCTATCATACCTGGTTTTAAAATTATGAATAGTATTTGCTTCCACAACCTGTTCCTGAAGTGCATTCCATTTCCCCACTACTCTCACGCTAAAAGAAAACTTCCTTACATCTCTGTGACTCATCTGAGTTTCAAGCTTCCATCCATGTCCTCTCGTTCTGTTGCTATTCCGTGTGAACATTTCGTCTATGTCCACTCTGTCAATTCCTCTGAGTATCTTATACGTTCCTATCATGTCCCCCCTCTCCCTTCTTCTTTCTAGTGTCGTAAGGCACAGTTCCCTCAGGCGCTCTTCATACCCCATCCCTCGTAGCTCTGGGACGAGTCTCGTTGCAAACCTCTGAACCTTTTCCAGTTTCATTATATGCTTCTTCAGATGGGGACTCCATGATGAGGCGGCATACTCTAAGACTGGCCTTACGTAGGCAGTGTAAAGCGCCCTAAATGCCTCCTTACTTAGGTTTCTGAATGATGTTCTAACTTTTGCCAGTGTAGAGTACGCTGCTGTCGTTATCCTATTAATATGTGCCTCAGGAGATAGATTAGGTGTTACGTCCACCCCCAGGTCTCTTTCACGCGTCGTTACAGGTAGGCTGTTCCCCTTCATTGTGTACTGTCCCTTTGGTCTCCTATCTCCTAGTCCCATTTCCATAACTTTACATTTGCTCGTGTTGAATTCTAGTAGCCATTTCTCTGACCATCTCTGCAATCTGTTCAGGTCCTCTTGGAGGATCCTGCAATCCTCATCTGTCACAACTCTTCTCATCAACTTTGCATCATCCGCAAACATCGACATGTAGGACTCTACGCCTGTAAACATGTCGTTAACATATACAAGAAATAGAATTGGTCCCAGCACCGATCCTTGTGGTACTCCACTTGTTACTGTTCGCCAGTCCGACTTCTCGCCCCTTACCGTAACTCTTTGGCTCCTTCCTGTTAGGTAGTTCCTTATCCATTCTAGGACCTTTCCCCCCACCCCCGCCTGCCTCTCGAGCTTGAACAGCAGTCTCATGTGCGGTACTGTATCAAAGGCTTTTTGGCAGTCCAGAAATATGCAGTCTGCCCAACCATCTCTGTCCTGTCTTATCCTCGTTATTTTATCATAGAATTCCAGAAGGTTTGTTAGGCACGATTTCCCTGTCCAGAACCCATGTTGATGTTTGTTCACAAACCTAATGTTCTCCAGGTGTGCAACCAGTCGTAGCCTAATTATTCTTTCCAGTATTTTACAGGGGATGCTTGTCAGTGATACAGGTCTGTAGTTAAGTGCCTCCTCCCTATCTCCTTTCTTGAAGATCGGCACGACATTTGCCTTCTTCCAGCAACTGGGCAATTCTCCTGACATAAGTGACTCATTAAAGATCATTGCCAGAGGCACGCTGAGGGCCTGTGCTGCTTCTTTTAGTATCCACGGTGATACTTTGTCTGGTCCAACTGCTTTAGTTGCATCTAGAGTTGTCAACTGTTTCATTACCTCCTCTGCTGTCACCTCTATATCTGATAGTCTTTCATTTAGGGTAACCCCTTCGAACAATGGGAGCTGCTCAGGCTCGGTAGTGAACACTCCATGGAAACTGGCATTCAGTGCCTCGCAGATTTCCTTGTCACTTTCAGTATATGCCCCCTCTGTCTTCCTTAGTCTTGTCACTTGGTCGTTCACCGACATTTTTCTTCTTATATGACTGTGTAGTAACTTAGGTTGTTTTTTCGCTTTGATTGCAATATCGTTCTCATAGTCCCTTTCCGATGTTCGTCTTATGTTAATGTAATCGTTCCTAGCTCTGTTGTATCTGCTTCTGTTGTCCTCTGTTGTGTGTTGTGTGTGTGTGTGTGTGTGTGTGTGTGTGTGTGTGTGTGTGTGTGTGTGTGTGTGAGAGAGAGAGAGAGAGATAAATAGTAGATAAGATAGAAGAAAAACAGATCGACAGTCAATACATTAATCAACTGACAGATGAAAAGGCGGGTTCCAAGAGCTAACAGCTCGATCCTACAGGCACAAATCGTAAACAGACACACACACACACACACACACACACACAACAACAACAAACAGGCGTGATGTTTGTACTAAATAATACCTTAAGAAGACCCAACAAAGTAGAAAAACGACAGGCAAGCATGCCAGGAACGACAGGCAAGCATGCCAGGAACGACAGGCAAGCATGCCAGGAACGACAGGCAAGCATGCCAGGAACGACAGGCAAGCATGCCAGGAACGACAGGCAAGCATGCCAGGAACGACAGGGAAGCATGCCAGGAACGACAGGCAAGCATGCCAGGAACGACAGGGAAGCATGCCAGGAACGACAGGGAAGCATGCCAGGAACGACAGGCAAGCATGCCAGGAACGACAGGCAAGCATGCCAGGAACGACAGGCAAGCATGCCAGGAACGACAGGCAAGCATGCCAGGAACGACAGGCAAGCATGC